GTAAAACAGGTCTGACCTTGGGGTTTGGGAGAGACTGAGAAAGATGGGTTCAATAATGTATACCACATTGAAACAGATGAGGGAGAAAACTGTTTAAAAGGGTATGTGATTAGGTATTTTTGTCATGACAGGAGTCTAGAGCGAAGGCTACATGGTGGAGTGGACCTGGGGGAGGGATTGTAAGACAATGAAAGAATTTTTCTTTTACTTTTCCAAGAGGGTAGTGTACTAGGGAGGAGGGTTGGGAGGGGAGAAAAGTGCAACAATGAATGAATGGAAATCCAAAGTCTCTGTAAAGTTTTACTGAAATTAATAATAAATTTAAACTTAAAAAAAAGATGTCTTTTGTAGATTTCCCTAATGCAATATGCCATTTGTTTTCTTGGCTATTGCTTGGATGGGTATTAATTGTGGATCCCAGTGAAATGAAACCCTAGTCAACTTTAGTATTTTCTCCATTGTTGTTTTCTTATGGTGGAAGTATAATCTATACTGAAGGTTGTAGTCTTTCATCTTCATCAGTAAGTACTTCAAGTCTTCTTTGCTTTCAGCAAGCAAGATTGTATCTGCATTAATATCCTACATAACACAGATTATTAAGGAGTCTCCTGTCAATCCTGATGCCACATTCTTCTCTAGGAGTCTACCTTCTGAGATTATTTATTCAGCATATAGACCAAATAAGTATGGTAGAATGATACAACTTTTTCATACTCTTTCTCATCCCAAACCATGCAGAATACCCATGTTCTGTTCAAATGACTGCCTCTAGGTCTATGTAAATATTCTGGAATTCTCATTCTCTGCAATGTTATCCATAATTTCTTACGATCTCCACAGTATCTGTAATGAGTAGGTAAAATTCCAACATGACTTTCTATCACCAATGTCATATTTTCCAATTAACTTTCTTTTTTTGTTTCCAACTTTTGAGTTTCAATCACCAGTAATTATCAATGCATCTTGATTGCATGATTGTTGAGATTGCAAAGCGTGATAAAAATCTTCATTTTATCACATACTTGACATTAGTGGTTGGTATGTAAATTTGAATAATATTTGTTTTAACTGATTTTCTTTGTGAAGCTTTGAGTAAGTTGTCTAGATGCTAACCAAAAGGTCAGCAGTTCAAATCCACCAGCTGCTTCATGGATAGTCTCCTCCCATAAAGATTTATGGTTTGAAACCAACCCATTGGAGGGTCACCACACGTTGGATTCTACCCTATAGCAGTAGGTTTTCGGTTCAGCCTCCCTTGTAGGTTTGTGGATATTATTATATTACTGGCAGCATTGTAATTAGGAATAGATCCTGACAATTTTTAATGATTAATAATGCGGTGTCATTCCTCTTTACTTTGTCATTTATGCCATGGTAGATAATATAGTTGTCTGATTAAAAATGACCAATACTAGTCATCTTGGTTCACAAATACTTAGCCTATTGGTAGTCAAGCGTTCTATTAAATTTTGGCAGCTTTCAATTTTTATAGATTCTTACTTTCCAATCACAAATGGGCGTCCACAGCCGTTTTTTCTCAGTTTGAATGCCACACTGTCAACTGAAGGTCACGAACACTTTTGTGTTCCATTATTAACTCAAAAACCCTCAAACTCATTGCTGTTGAATCAGCACTCATAGTTGACCTTCCAGCAGGTTTTAGAGACTGTAAATCTCACAGGAGGAGATTGTGCATCTTCTTCCCATGGAACTACTGGTGGATTTGAACCGCTCTTCTTAGAGTTGGCAGTGCAGCTCCCTACAGAGTGGGCCACCAGAGCACCCAATACATTATGAAGTTTAAATCTGCTTTGAGGAGGCAGCTCTTTCCCACTTGAATTTGGAGCGCCTTCCAACCTGAGCAGCTCATCTTCTGGCACTAGACGTGGCAACGTTTTGTTTGTTTTCATAAAGTCTTCACTTTTCAGAATTAGATCAGCAGGCTGTTTCTAGTCTGTCTTAGTCTGGAAGCTTCACTGAAGCCTGTCAACCACGGGTGACCCTGCTGATGTTTAAAGTACCAGTGGCTTAGCTTCCAGCATCACACTCACATGGACACCACCACACTGTGGCACCATGACAGACAAGTGAGGTAAAGGGGTGCACATTATGAAGCAGATGTCACAAGTTACTATTGAGATGTGGAGCTCACGTGGGGAAAAGCCTATCAGGCTTCACATTCCATGGGCTCCTGTCTCTCTGTCCTCTCAATTCCTTTCTCTGAAGGTTCTCTGACTATCTAACAGCTGACACAGAGGCAGGTGCCAACTACAGTTTGTATTCCCACTTCTGCTATGTATTAGCTCTGTCATTTTCGAGGAAATAACTTAACTCCCTTGGGCCTCAGGTTTACACGCTGTGTGCTGTTCGACAAACATTAGGTGTACCTGAGCCAAACCAAGGGTTTTTTTCAGTCACCTCAGATACATGTGAAAATTGGACAAGGAAAACGAACTAAAGAATTGATGCTTTTGAATTGTGGTGAAGTATACTGACTATATCATGAACTCTTAGAAAGAACACACCAGTCTGTCAAGGAAGAAGTAGGGCCATGATGCTTTTCAGAATAATGAGACTTTGTCTCACAAACCTTGAGCATGTTGTCAGGAGGGATCATTCCTCAAAGGACGTATTTTATCAGAATCTTTTTGGGATCTTTTAGAGCTATTCTTGGGCATATATTCCTGAAGCATCTGGCCCGAGTAAGGCATAGATTTTCCAGATGATTCTTGACGACTCATCTTGAGAGCCAATGGGCCAGAGGTAATGTGTTTCCATATTCGTAGCGTTTCCATGTTCTTGTAGGACATTACAGCACGAGAACTCTTCTTCTTTTTTTAGTGTGTGTGTGTGTGTGTGTGTGTGTGTGTGTGTGTACCGTCAAATAGAATCTGATTGGTACAGGAGGAGATTGCCCCACCTTCTCCAGCAGAGCACCGAGAACTCTTCTTGACAAAGCCCCTCGTTATTTATTTCCTCCTTTGAACCTGAGAAGAACCTCATGAAAAGTCCAGGAACAAGTTATGTTTTTCTCAGAATGTCACCCCACCTTTTATTTCTCTGGGGCTGCTGCTGGCTGAGGCATAACCAGACCAGCTGTGGACAGGCTTAGCCCACCTCCACATAACGAGGAAATTGTACTTGGGAATCAATGACTAACTAGGACTTAGTAATTCACTGCTTCACTGAAAACAAGGCCCAGGTAGTAAGGATATTTGAAGACCTGTGGGCTTGCGGGGGCACAGGGACTGTGTGGCACTGCTGTGTGTCTAAGGCAGCTCCCGTGTGGGCTGGGTGTTTCCACAGAGTTTACCCAGCGCTCAGTCAAGAAAGATCTAGATGTCACCTCTGAGTCCAGGGCTGACTCAGTTTCTGTGTCCTGAACTGGCTGCTGGTATCTGAGCTGAATGATAAATAGAGCACAATGAACAATATTGCAGTTAGAATGAGCTTACAGGAAAGCAGTATGCAAATTATGAAACGGGTATGACAAGTTATTATTGACAAAGAGCTGAGAAAGGGCTGGAGGAGGGAAGACCATTTCATTGGCTCTGATCAGTAAAGGTGATGTCACAGGGGGTGCTGTTTCTCTTGGAGTGGGGATAGCCGGGCAGGGCCCTGTCCAGGGCTCTATGGCTGGTTCCATGGGGAGGACCCCACTTTAGTCAGGATGGCATATGAACGTGGACTCCCAAGGCTGTGCTTTGGGCCTTATACCAAAAAGACACACTGCCATCAAGTCCCTTCTGACACCTGGCCACCTTGCAGGACAGAGGAGAATGGCCCCATAAGGCCTCGAGGGCTGTAAATCTTTAAGGAAGCCGACTGCCACAGCTCCTTCCCATGGAGCAATGAATGGATTAGAACTACTGATCTTTTGTTTAGCAGCTGAATTCTTTAACCACTGTGCTACCAGGGATCCTTAGACCTCAGAAACCAATAATTGTGTCCTTTGCCAATTGATGCAGGACAGTCCTCTATCATATTTCCACGGCTATGTATTTTTATGACAGGGTGCCCCCATCTGTCCCTAGAGGATGGACTGGTAGATTTGAACCACTGACCTCTGAGTGAACAGCCCGGTATGTTAAGTGCTAGTTGTTTGTTGTTATGTACTGTCGAGTAGCAACTGACTCATAGCTGATCCTCCAGGTTTTCAGAGGCAGTAAATCACACAGGAGATTTCCTGGCTTTTTCTCACCGAACAGCTGGTGGATTCGAACCCCGTGCCTTTGGCAGCACAACTCTTTACCAAGCCGCCATAGCTTCCTTAAGCAGTAGAATCATAAATTAAAAAGGAAAAGATCCTCTCTTTCCTACGTAACACCCTTCCCACCCAGAGCTGGTTCTGACTGACAGCAGCCCATCAGGATGAAGTAGGACTTCCCCGCAGGCTGACTCTCCCCAGAGGCTGGCAGCCACATCTTCTTCACAGGGAGCAGCTGGTGGGTCCACACTTTCTGGTTAACAGACCAATACTTGATTCCCTGTACCACCAGGGCTCCTTACATGTAACTATCATGTGGTTTTTAGTCTTCTGGCAAGAACCATGCCTTCTTGCAGGTCTTGAAAAGAGTTATTGTGGATGCTGTTTCAACCCTGTGTGGTAGAATACTTACCTTTTGTGTGTGTGTGTCATAGAGAAGAATGCTTTTTCAAATTCCATGGTATAAAAATTCCCAAAAAAGACGCTAAAATATATTGCTTTTCCCTCATTCATCTCAGTAGTTCTCAGCATGTTTGGTTTGGGGTAAGAAGATTGTGAGATGCTTTTAGGGTAAAGATAGATGGATAGATGATTCCAGAATGCTGCACCAGGGGCTGCTGCAGCCACAGGCTGGTTGCCTCTGCTCATAAGCCCCTTTCCCGGGGTTTCCCCTGCCTCTCTGAGCACACAGTGAAAGACATGGTAGTTTTCTAGAGGTGCTGTCCATTGTGTGGAGGACGCGAACATGCACGACCCACCGCCCCCACTGACCTGTGCTCTGCCTTTATTCCAGCTGCACCAGGGATGACGCTGCCATCTACCAGGTCTCGGCCAGAAACGGCTCCGGCATGATCTGCTGCTCTGCTCGTGTGGAAGTGGAGAGCTCTCCCCCACAACTCCCTCCAGACCAGGAGGACGCAGAGGACGCAGGCTGGAAACGAGAAACAGAGGCGCTGCAGGTAGAAGCAAGCACAGGGCAGAGTCAGGAGGAAGAGCACCCTTACCAGAGAGAAGAAGGGCTCACCCCCAACCCTCCCTCGTCAGCTGGTTCCTCACCCCCTAGGGGCAGGCGTTCAGGTTCACTCCAGTGCTTTTCCAGCTGTGACATTGATCTTCCCAGTTTGGAAAAACCTTTGGACAGTAAAGAAACAAGCCAGCCGCAAGAGGCTTATGACCCAAACAAGACAGAGGAAAGTGCTCAAGGAGTTCCCGTTGCTAATTCAAGTGATACTGCGGGCGACGAGGCTGGGTATTGGCCCTGGTTGGTGTATTTCAAAGCATCACAGCCCGTGGATGGTGCACTAAACCATGATGCCCTTCACAGTGCAGCCATGGAGTCCAGCCATCAACGTCCCCCAGTTCAGAAATACATCAGCTCCAGCTGGCCGCTGCCCGAGGTGCCCTCCACCGCCTGCCCAGGTGTCAGCGCCCCGTGCAGTGGCCAGCTCTGCCCGCAGGTCCCCAGCGAGGACTCTGACAGTGACTATGAACTTTGCCCAGAGATAACCCTGACCTACACCGAGGAGGAGTTCTCAGATGATGACCTGGAGTATCTGGAATGTTCCGACGTGATGACGGATTACTCTAATGCCGTCTGGCAGAGGCACCTGCAGGGGCCGGACTGTGTTTTTTTATTGGAAAGCGATGACGACGACCTGGAATTCGCCAAGCGGGGCCTGGGTGGGTGTGGGCATTTCCTCAGTGAAGCGGGCTGTCGCTCTCAGGTGTCAGATGACACCGGGCCTATGGATGCCACCCCTGGCCTCCGTGCTTCTCACTCTCCACCCCAAGAAGCGGGGGGAAGGAGCAGTGGAGGCAGCAGGCCTGGGTCCTCACTGGGGCAGCCGGGCATGACACTCATTCTCAGCCCTCACCAGGACAGCACGTCGATGGTGACAGATAAACTCCCCTCCGCTTCAGGGGCGGCTGAAAATGCTTGTCCCGGAATTCGAGGCGAAACCACAGACAGCCACCAAGCAGGGGAGGAAGTGGTCAACGACAATCTGTTAGCTATGGACAAAGCACCTGTGAAGATGACACCTGGTGAGGTAGGGGCGCACCAGCCTGGGGAGACTTCAGCCGAAAGAATTGCTGGAGGAAAGGATTTGGTGACCGCAAGGGGCTCCCAGAAGCCTGTCAGGGTCAGGCGGCCCTGGGCTAAGGGAAAACCCGAGAAGCTGACCACCCATCTGAAAGAAAACGCAGCAGAAGGAACTCTTAATCTCCTGCATCCCAGAGAACCCGCTAAGCACCCACTAACCCGCAGTGACAACAAAAGGAGGGGTTGTCGCTCCAGAGCAGAGGCTCCTGGTCCAGCTGTCCAGGTCCACGCAGAGGAACTTGCGCTTTGCCCCGAAGCCAAGCAAGAAGCAAAACCCTTATGGACCCCAGCAGTCTGGCTCCCCTGCAGTGAGGACAATGCCTGGCTCCAGGGAGAAGAGATGCTGATTAATGATCAGCTGGAAGCCAGCCAGACTGCAGACCACAGGGAGCATCTGCAGGTAAGGCCCCTGCTTCCCCCCCACCTCTCAACAAATCACAAGAGAATGTGGGCGCTCCGTGTGGGGGTCCTTCTCCCCCACTTCATGTCCACGGTCGCCCCCCGTGTCATGTCCACCAAGAGTAAGCCCTCCCAGTCCCACCAGGGCCATTATGAATGACAGCTACTGCTGTGTGGACGGAAACCTGGTTTTGAAAAAAGGCCCAGATCAACCCTAAGCCTTCCTAATTATAGCCAAAGACTGGTAGAAGGAAGGGGCATTAATGGCTCCTGGACAGCTGGACAAAGAAATCTGATATTTTGTCTACTGCATGTGTTTTCTCAGGCAGCGGCTCCGTTCAGAACGTTTCTCAAGCAAATGCTTAGGCTCATGTCTCGCCTGGATGGGCAGAAGGAAAGCATTCTTTCTAGTCAATTTCTTTTCCCCTAGGGGTGTGTTGAAGAAAAATGGAAGGTTCTGGCGTTTGTTAGATTCATAGCACAAATGAAACACTTCCGTGAGTTGAAAGCCTTGTGCTTGCAGTATGGTGCCAGGAAAAGTGGATGAAAATGTTGCTGTGCTGGTCGGAAGTTTTGGACGGGATGTTTGCTTTATTTTGTTTTTCTTGGGCCAAAAAATATACGGGGCTAAGAGAACACCAGAAAATGACTCCCTTCCCCACTGTTACTATGATTTTGGGATTTATTCTCGAGTGATGGAATGAAATTCATGGGAATAATTACTGCAAAATGAATGCAGTTCTTGAGCCACGACTGTATCACATTTTTAATCTTAAAAGGCTTTTTGATGTAAGCTTTAGACTGATGGTGAGCTTGGGGTAAGAGTTGATCTTTATTAAAAAACCCAACAAACCACCCTAACATCTTATTAGTTATTTTTACAATGCTTTGTTTTGCACACGTCTTCCAATTTTATGATAGAAACTTAATGTGCTTTCATAGAAGACGAAACGTATTCAAGAGGAGCCCTGGGGGCTCAATGGTTAAGCACTTGACTGGTAACCGAAAAGTTGGAGGTTTGAACCCACCAGCTCTTCTGGAGCAAGAATACCTGTAAAGATTTCAGCCTCCTAAAGCCTCTGTGGCTGTTCTAGTCTGTCTTGTAGGGTCATTGTGGGTTGGAATCAACAGAACAACAACTACAGGCATATTACAAAGAAAGTACAATGTTCACAAATAATTTAAATACATTGATTTCTAGATGTAAAACAAACTCCCAGTCATAACAGAGCCCATCTGAAAAATTTCAGATGTGTTGTAGTTGGTTTTTTCTTCCAGTTCTTTACTTTTATTCAACAAAAACCAAGTTGTTAGTGCAACAATGAATGAATAGAAATTCAAAATCTCTGTAAAGTTCATTAAAATTAATAAAATTTAAACAAAAAAACACACACCCCAATTTGTAAACAACAGCAAATCCAGCTTCAAAGTCTGGCAGTGTTCCATCTATGCACTGTACTAGCTGGTTTTGAACGATTCTCAGCAGTATTTTGTTTGCATGGGATATTGATATTGCTTGATAATTTAAAAAAAAAAACCCAATTTGTTGACCAAATTAACGGTCTAAAGTCATGCTGTCTTTGCATGTTTGTAAAACAACCAGCTTTATTCTGCTTAGTTCAGCAGCTTACACATGTCTCAGCATAGATACATGGACAAGATCATTCTACAGAAGTAGCTTCAACAAACACCAATAGCAAAAGAAATGAAGTGGTAATTTTAATGTCAACAAATAAAGCATCTTCTTTTAAAAAATGCTCTTCCTAGCTTAGCCAAGTTCCATTTGCTGTCATTTGTCAACTTTGTTGGGCAAAGTCTTGTGTTATCAGTCTGAGGTGGGGGAGGTGCCCAAAAGGAGTTAAGTGAGGGAAAGGGGCTATTGACAAGCTTATTTTTAGATCCTCCGTGACTGGAGGTGAGCTTCAGCCCCTTCCCTGCTAAAAATTGACAGACTGAAAGAAAGCTCTCAGCTTATGCTTTAAACAGAATTCAGAAATCACGCCCGAAATCATCATGTGCGTTTGTTAACTAGGACTGCAGCTCAACCATGGGCCCCTTTTGTAGACCAAGAGCCTCTGTACTGTTCATATGGACCTTATTGGGGTCCCTTGCTTGTGTCTTCCCCAACCCCCTCCGCATGCACACATTCCTAAATACATACCCACTCCACCAGCATTCACATCAAAGTCCGACTTGTGCTTTGTGGTGTGATTATAAGATCATTCTTTCAGAACCATGGACTTGGCTGTTTAGAACACACACCAAAGAGCTTGCATTCTCAGAGCGTAGGACCAGGTTGCACTGTGCTGTGCTCAGTATCAGAGCTCACCTTCCAAGAACTCAACCAGAAACCCGAAAGGAAGCAGAACTCCCTAGGGCAGGTCTATGCAGCGTGAAGTCAGAAATAGCATCTTCTGTCTGTGGGATTTTATTTTCCTATGACAAATGGAGGCAAAGTCTGCTGCAGAGACCCAGAGCGTTTAAGAGCACAGTTCTTGACCCTCGCACAAAATTAATCTCTAACTGGAGGCAATGTCTGTTACTTGCATAGATGCAGTTTGGCAAAATTTATAGCAAATGGCCAAATATCATAAAGGTGACACAAGCATTGGAGTCATTGGTCATTCAAAGAAACTCTTTAGTGTTTAAAAAAAAATGGTAAATCTTTCTGTAATTAAGTAAAAAGATAACTGACTATTTTATTCTTAGACATTTAGGGCTTGAGGGAACCTAAACTTTGCACCTTGGTTTGGGGTTTATGAATATATTTGTGAAAAAATTTGTCTCCTCCTGGCCCTTGCCTGACTCACTTACCTCTGGGGATCTGTCTGTAGAAACAGTGGTCACCAGCTTATCTTTTTGTGTGTAGTCTTCATCTGTGTGTTTCTTCTGAGAAAAGAATCCTCTCTCTAAGGCTGTTATAACAAGGCTGTGTTGCAGAATATTTAAATGAAGATACAAGCAACAGTCCCCTCAGAGTCCCTGTCTAAGTGTGCATCTCCAGTTACATTTGTTTCCTGCCTTCTACTTTCTGCTATACAATGCAAGACCATCTTGCTAGATTTGTCTTGAAGTATCACTCACCCAGGCTTGGCACTGGAAAGGTCCTAGTTTCTCAAGATTTATGGAAAATTCCAAAGTTAATCCCAGTTTGGTAGTGGAAAACGGAGAAGGTAACCCAGCTAACTTGAATCATTGTCAAGGGTCACACTGCCAATCCTTCACCTTGGTTTTGATCTTGCTCCCTTGGTCCAACTCAGAAGCAAAGGCCTGACAACCTGCCCATCTTAAGTTTCCCTGCAGCCTGAGTGGAGCAAGAGCCTCCTGTTCTGAAACCAGAGTGTGGAGGGTGTCCTTGTGCAGCGCTGCCCAGCTTTACCCCAGAGAGATTGCATTTCTGTTTGGGGTCATGGGATCTCCACTGGACTACAGTATGGTAGTGTATTCTTAGGTTCTGATAGTTGAGAGTCTTCCTAAGTGTAGGACTTAGAGCTCTAAGCAGAGAGGGTGAAATCCATGACAGTAGGGAATTTGGTCACTGTAGTGCCTGGCACTCAATCTTAGAATGATTAAGCAGCTGGAGGTTACTTGATGGAACTCCACGTATAGGCAGTTGCCCAAAGAATAAACAAATATTTCTTGGAGGAAGTGCAACTGGGTGCTCATTAGAGGTAAAGGTGGTAAAACTCTGTGTCATATGCCTTAATTAATTTTTATAAAGTGTATTATTGTACATTTTCTCCCCCTCATATACTTTAAGCATCCTGTCAGGAGGGGCGAGTCCTTGGGAAAGGACATTATACTGGGAAGGACGGAGAGTCAATAGAAGAGAAGATTAGCTTCAGCGAGGTGGAGTGACACGATGACTCCAGCTATGGCTTTGAGCATGGGGGGAGACTGTGGGCACGGTACAGGACAGGGCGAGGTTCCAGTGTGTTGTTCGCAGCGCTGATATGAGTTGACTCTAGGTCATGTAACAACAACAACACAGGGGGTTGGCTGTGATTCTCAGGATTACTAGTCTCAAAACATGATGCTCTGTTCTTTTTATTGTGGTGGAAGATACATGACAAAGCATTTCCCACTTCAGCCATTTTTTTCCATTTCAGCCATTTTTGCATGTAAAATTCAGTGATACTCAATATGCTGTGTAAATACCACCATTCAGTTTCCAAATTTCCTCATAATTTTTTTGTACAATGAATGATTTATGAATTAAATTGCAAATGCTTTTTTTTGAAATGGGTTTAAAAAATTTTTTTTTGCTTTACACTGGTTTATTTAAAAGTTCATATACATTGTTTTTTCACACTGGATCTTTCTCATTTGTTCCCCCCCTTCACCCATCAAATTGTGCAACCCTATGATTAACACCCCCAACCCCCACCCATCCTCAGCCCTCTGCTCCCACCCCCCCTTGGATCCTCATACCCATTCCACAATAATGGTCTTCTACAATATTTGTCCTTATAAGATTGAGTTAGTTCACTTAGCATAATGCTCTCCAGTGTCTCCCAGTTAGAAAGTAATTTACAAAATGCTTACTCCTGTGTGCTGCATAGTATCCCATTGTGTGACTGTACCATAATTTCTCAATCGGTTCAATTGTGGTTAGACATTTGGGCTGTTTCTTTTTTTTTTAATTTTTATTTATTTCTTTTTTTATGTGTATACCGTCAAATTGGATCTGACTGGTACAGGAGGCGATTGTTCCTCCTTCTTCAGCAGAGCATCTGGTGGATCTGAACTGCACACCTCTGGGATTGCAGTGCAGTTTCCTGCCACTAGGCCACCAGAGCTCACATTTGGGCTGTTTCTATGTCCTTGTGATGGTAAATAATGCTGATATGAACATTGGTGTACAAGTCTTCATTTTTGCTTCAGTTTCATTTTCTCAGGGTATATTCCAAGCAGTGGAATTGCAGGGTCATATGGAATTTCTATATTTAGCTTTTTGAGGAAGGGCCAAGGTGCCTTCCAGAGTGGTTGTACCATTTTACA